TTCATAATTTCAATAGATAAAAAATAAATAAATAGCTGTATTACTCTGGGTACTGTAGAGGTACAAAATCAATAGGAGGTGGACGGATGAAAGGAAGGAAGGAGAAAGAAGAAAGAAAAAGGAAGGAAGGAAGAGACGGAGGGAGGGAAGGAGGGAAGGAGGGAGGCAAAGAGAAATAGAAATAGAAAGGAGGGAGATTTTAAGGAATTGGCTCATGCAGTTATGTAGGTTGAGAAGTCCCAAGATCTGCCAACTGCAAGCTGGAGACCCAGAAAACCCAATGGTATAATTCCAATCTGAGTCTGAAGGCTTGAGAAGCAGGAGGGCTGATAGTGTAAGTGCCAGTCTCATTCCAGGAGCAGAGAAGGACTGTGCGAAATCTCCTTTACTCAGTGTTTTGTTTCACTCAGGCCTCAGTGGATAGGATGATGTCCACCCACATTGGGGAGGGCAATCTGCTTTACTGGGTCTACTGATTCAAATACTAGTCCATACAGAAATACCCTCATGGACACCCCCAGAATAATGTTGAACAAATACTTAAGCACCACATGGCCAAGCCAGGATGACACATAAAATTATGCATCATAACAGCTTAACTTCTAAATTAGAAACTTCCTACTCCGTATATTTAGGTTCCAAATCCCATCAAGTCAAATGGATCTCAGGAAATGTTCCAATTCTTAATTATTATTGGCTTCAGGCCTAAAACACTATAAAGTCACTCCATACTACCATTTCTAAAACTTCGAGAATCTTTATTAAGTTGATCTTGCTTCAAGAGAAAAGGCAGTCTATACTACTTAGATAATGTAATAATTGTAATCCAAGAGAAGCTAGACCTGCAAGTCAAATTAAGGCCCTAAGAAATAAATTAACATGAGGTGTATTGTTAATGAGGACCCCCAAATCCCCTGATCTTATTTTGGAAGCGAAAGTGAAGTTATCATTTAGAATTGACTACATTCCTCAGCATACCATCCTAACAATGATGTCTGTCATTGCTATTTCTATGATGCTTTAGAAAGAAAAACCTAAATGATTATATATTTTTCTATGGCAAAAAAAAAGAGTGTGTTTCAGGCACTTTCATGACCTGAGTTGTATATACTAAAAGTTGTGTACACACACACACAGATTGTAGAGAATATATCTGATATGGTTTTGCTGTGTCCCCACCCAAATCTCAAATTGTAGCTCCCATAATTCTCAAGTGTTGTGGGAGAGACCTGGTGGGAGGTATTTGAAACATGGTGGTGGGTCTTTCCTGTGCTGTTCTTGTGATAGTGAATAAGTCTCACGAGATCTGATAGTTTTATAAAAGGGAGTTCCCCTGTACAGTACATGCTCTCTCTCTTGACTGCCGCCATGTAAGACATGACTTTGTTCCTCCTTTGCCTTCTGCCATGATTGTGAGGCCTCCTCAGCTCTTTTTCCTTATAAATAACTCAGTCTCGGGTATAACTTTATTAGCAGTGTGAGAACAGACTAATACAATAGCTCTACAAATATACTGTAGAGAAATGGTATAAATAAGTAAAATTTCAAGTTTTCTCTGAGGGTGCCTCCCTTTGAAGCTCTTCTGTCCTGAGGATCACTCTAAACTGTGCTCGTTTAGGCTGGGAAATCATTTCTTCTTTAAATGTTTATATTCAGTTCAAAGTGCTCCATTTCCATGAGTAATGACAAAACATAGTTTCCACCCCATCACCTCCACTCTAGCTGCATGGAGAGGAAACTACTTATGAATTCTTTTCTAGGCCCCCAGAGTTCTGGAAGGCAGTCACTGAGTTTTCATGAAAAGCCAGAGCAAGGACTCCAGATCCCATTATGCCAAAGAGGAAGCTGAATACTTATTTTAAATTTCATTTTAGCCTGCCCCAAATGTGGACACCATTGTTAGGCCAGTCCCGTATACCATGTGTACCTTTTGCAAGTCTCTTAGAACAAGCTGTTCCCCTCAAAGGATTTTCTTCCAAGGAACCAGAACATGGGTTTATTTTGGCCTGGATCAGCTCCTCCAGGAATCTTCCAGGGAGGAGGTGGGTGGTCAGCTCCTGAGACAAGAGTGTGTAGAGGTCAGGATATGGGCTCTGAAGCCAGACTACCTATGTTTGAATCCAGGTTCTGGGTTTACGATCGGGGAATGTGAGGGAGTTATACAAATGTTCATGCCTTGGTTCCTCCTTCTATTGAATGGGGCAAATGATGGTACTTAACTGATTGAGTTGCTGTGAGGATTAAAAAATGACACATGTAAAGTGCTTAGTATAAGACTTGGCATATAATAAGTGTTAAGTGCTAGGGAAAATTAGCCAGGCATGGTGGTATACACCTGCAGTCTTAGCTACCTGGGAGGCTGAGGAAGTTTGCTTGAGGCCAAGGAATTTGAGGCTGCAGTGAGCTATGACAGCATCACTGCACTCCAGCCTGGGTAACAGAGTAAGACCCCATCTCTAAAAATAAAAAAATAAAATAAAATAAATGCTAGGGGGCTGGGCATGGTGGGTGGCCCACGTCTGTAATACCAGTACTTTGGGAGGCCGAGGAGTGCAGATCACTTGAGGTCAGGAGTTTGAGACCAGCTTGACCAACATGGAGAAACGTCGTCTCTACTGAAAATACAAAACGTTAGCCAGATGTCGTGGCCCATGCCTGTAATCCCAGCTACTCAAGAGGCTGAGGCAGGATAATTGCTTGAATCTGGGAGACGGAGGTTGCAGTGAGCTAAGACCGTGCCACTACACTCCGGCCTGGGTGAAAAGCAAGACACCATCTCAAATAAATAAATAAATAAATAAATAAATAAATAAATAAATGCGAGGGAACATGTGGCTTCTGACTTAAACACCTTCCAGGATTAATCCAGGTCCACAATCACCCAGGGAGTTGTGGGCAGTCTGTGGGCACCTGTCAGGCTGCATCTGTTGGGTAGTAGAAGCTGCTTCTTTCTAACTCTAAGTCTGCCTATTTCTTCTATCATGTCATCAGAATTCCTTAAACATCTTATTTAACAGAATATACAAATTTAAGCCAGTTCTACAGTGAAAAACCTGAGAGTGAGTCATGGCAAACTTTAACTGTAATCTTGAAAGATGGAAATGGAGATAGACAAATATTGGGAAAAGATCTTAAGAAAATTGATGAATCCAATAGGTAGGTCAGATAAGCATTTCTTGGTTTTCTGCCTTCCATTTGTAAGCATGTCTGTGTGTGTGTGTGTGTGTGTCTCTGTGTGTGTGTGTGTGTATGTTTATACCCATGGCCCTTATTTAGAGCTCTAAATCTCCTAAGGACAGGAACCACCTGCCACCTGATAAGAGAGAAGTAACCTCCATGCATTTGTCCTTCTACCCTCAAGAGGGATCCTCTTCAGCCCAGGATGGTATAGACATAGACTATTTTGGAAACAAAGGGATAGATTCTGTGGCTTTCTATCTCCTTTTTTCCTTTTCCCTTTCCACATTCCTGGCTCTAACTTGGTTCTTTCTGTTGCCATGGTAACCAACAGTCTCAGAACACAGACTTCTGACAGCTGGACTTTTAGCCACAGAGACTCGGGATGTGAAGGATTTCTCATGTCTCCCCTTTTGCCTCAGGAGTTAGCAGCACTTCTTCCATGTGGGCAGCCACCAGGGAAGGGTGTGACTGTGTGTGTGGGGGGGGGGGGGAGAGAGAGAGAGAGAGAGAGCGCGCGCACATGCGCACATGCATTCTTCCAGCCCTACTTTGGGGCTTCATAGAAAAAGGTGGACTAAACAGTGCCATCAGATGGTGGGAGGATGGGCATCTAAATACCAAAACCTTTCTGGAAAGTAATTTGGTATCAACTACCACAAGACTTTAATATATTTGTGGGGTTTGGTCCATTAATCCTACATATAGAAAAATAAGAGACATACTCAAAGATTTATGGAAAAGTGGGTTTACTAGAGATTTATTTAGTAAAGGCAGTAACTACCACCTAATTGTCATTAATAAGATGTGGTTAAAAATTGCAGAGTAACCATATATATGTTTGTTGTAGGCTATGGGATAAAATAATTTCAGTTTCAACTGATGTCATATCCACACTTACATATATGTGGACATTGTACATTGTATAAATGTACAGATAAGTATATGTGTGTTTATATAAACGGAAAAGATAAGGAAGTCCATCAAAATGTTTTGATAGTTATCATTATCTTTAGAAGGTAGGACTATAGCATATTTACTTTCATGTTCATACTTTTCTATATTTTTCCAATTTTATACAATGATCATCCTTTTCTTTTATGACACAAGATCTTACAACCATAGTAGGACAAATGTTGAGAAGTGGAGATGCTTAGTAGAGAGGATTATAACACAATGAAATAAGTTTTGAAAGGGAGAAGCTGCCTCTTCTGCCCTTCACTGAGAGATTATAAAAATTGGATAATACTGGCCGAGCCCGGTGGTTCATGCCAGTAATCCCAGCACTCTGGGAGGCCGAGGCAGGTGGATCACAAGGTCAGATCAAGACAATCCTGGCTAACACAGTGAAACTCCTTCTCTACTAAAAATACAAAAAATTAGCCGGGCGTGGCGGCACACGCCTGTAGTCCTAGCTACCTGGGAGGCTGAAGAAAGAGAGTCTCTTGAACCCGGGAGACGGAGGTTGCAGTGAGCTGACACCACACCACTGCACTCCAGCCTGGACAACAGAGCGAGGCTCTGTCTCAAAAAAAGAAAAGAAAAAAAAGAAGATTGGATAATACTTCTATCTAAACGGGGTAGTACTGAATAGAAAAGGGAATAGGGCCGGGTGTAGTGGCTCATACCTACAATCTCAGCACTTTGGGAGGCCAAGGTGAGTGGATCACCTGAGGTCAGGAGTTTGAGACCAGCCTGGTCAACACGGTGAAACCCCATCTCTACTAAAAATACAAAAATTAGCCAGGTGTGGTGGCGGGTGCTTGTAGTCCCAGCTACTCAGGAGGCTGAGGTTGCAGTGAGCTAAGATCGCACCACTGCATTCCAGCCTGGGAGATGGAGTGAGATTCCATCTCAGAAAAAAAAGAAAAAAGAAAAGGGAATGGATAAGGTTTTTGTTTAAGTACTATGATTCTCTTCTCCCCAGTCCCATCTATTTTTTTCTTTTTTCTTTTCTTTTTTGAAGCTTCTCGAGAGATTTGTGCCTTTGAACTCCATGGCATATTCATCCTCTAACAGCGACATAGAGGACTACAGCTCCAAATCCAATTCCAACCTGAGCCTCTCTGTGGGCTATTTCCCCTGTGAGGACACCCCCTGTGAGGACACAACCTCCTGTGAAGACACAACTTCCAAGGATCCTTCCATCCACTTTCTCCCTCCCATCCAAGGGGCATGGGGGACTGAAAGGATAAGGAGATGCATGAAGAGACAAGACCAAATTCAGGATGAACCAGAGCAGTTTTGCAAACTAAGCATCTTCCTAGCCTGGGACGTGGACGTCAGCTCCAACAACACAGACTCAATAGCTAATAGGCTTCTAAATGGAGACAACCAGTGGAGAGATGAGTTACCAAAAGAGAGAACAAAACTGTCTGTCAGCAAACTGAATAATCTCGTGCAAGAGTTTCAGACATTTCTAGAAAATCTGAAAGATGATGAAGATGATGACGCTGTATTTCCTGAAACGACTCAGAAAGATTTCCAGCTGTCCGGCGGCTCCCCTCCAGAAATGGTTCAGGTCAGTCATCAAGAACATGATGCATGTCAAGACCTGCCCAAGTGCAAACCACCAGAAAATAAAGGTGTTATGCAGTCTCCACAGACTCCTCTAAGGCTTAAGGAACATGAGCTGGCTGAGGTGAGCAGAGATGCCTCACAGGACAGCAAGAGATAGGCCTGGGTTGAACCACAGAATCTTACGACCACTGGGAGGAAGCAGGTCCCAGGGAGTCTGACGTGAAACCAGTGGGAGACAGATAACAAGGAAGGGAGTCAGGGTGAAGCTGTAGGGAAAAGACTGAGGAACGCTTAGGGAAACAAGAGGGTAGCAAGCAAGGAGAAGGGCTAGCAACTATGTCTCCCTCCCCACCAAAAACATATATGTTTAGTATTAATGAGCATTGAAACTTTGCATTGACACTTGGGCTATTTTTGGTAAAAGGATGTGAGTTCCACAAATAAGTAAATGTTGACTTGGCTGCTGTCATGGTTATGCCCACCTAACACATCCTTCATTTTCATGGCAGATGGTAAGCCAGGCAACTGCCAGCCAAAGGACAAGTGCTCCAGAGATCTCCTCAATCCTGTCAGAGCAGCCAGAGAAGGATGACACTCCTTCCCCCATACAGGCCCAGTGCTGCCTGAACTTTGGGTGGGCCTTCAGCTGGCTGAGTCAGCGTATCCTCTCCCCTCTGCTGAGGAGGGATCACCCTGTGAAGGCCACCGAGAGTCCCCACTGGCCAGCACCAAGGAAAAGACTCTTTCACCGAGGCAAGAGAATTCAACCTCAAGAAACCCTTGAATTAGGACATCCCATACAGACAGATTTTTAAACTTTTTGGAAAGTTCAAGATAATCCATAATGAGGATTCCATTAATAATCCCCATCAGTTTATTTTTTCCTCAATAAACAAAATAAATGCTCTTGTTACACCATGTCTTCCTCTTCCAGCACACCATCTTGACTCACATTTCAAGCATATGTGGGCCAGGTGCGGTGGCTCACACCTGCAATCCCAGTGCTTTGGGAGGCTGAGGCAGGTGGATCACCTGAGGTCAGGAGTTTGAGACCAGCCGGGCCAACATGGCAAAACCCCATCTCTACTAAAAATACAAAAATTAGCTTGGCGTGGTGGTGGACGCCTATAATCCCAGCTACTCAGGAGGCTGAGGCAGGAGAATCACTTTAACCTGGGGGCAGAGGTTGCACTGAGCTGAGATCACGCCACTTCACTCCAGCCTAGGCAAAAGAGCGAAACTCTGTCTCAAAAAAAATAAATAAATAAAATAAAAAATTAAAATTAAAGAAAATGTTTAAAAAAGAAAAGGAAGTATATCTGTTGTCTAGAAGACAAATTTATTCTCAGGAAATTTTAAGTAGTATTATGCTTCCTAAATTGAAGTATTGTTTTTCTCTCCTCTCACCCATTCTTACTCTATTTTACCCTAGTTTATCTATTTTATGTGTTTTAACCTATTTTATCATTAACCCAAATCCCAATTTTCAGTAGGCAGCAGCGTGACCCGTCAGATTTCCACAGTGGCAGGATGATTTGGGTTGAACTCGCAGGGCTTGAGCGAGTGGCAGTGGGTATTAAGTCACTGAGGAAATTAATTTTCATTTCAGGAGTTCGGACAGCAGTTCTGATACTCCCCAGAGACCTGACGGGTTCTAGCATGTGTTGCCTTGACTGTAGTAGTGGCCCACTTAGGAGCAATGTGAGGACTGTGAACACTACTTCACTACTCTAAGTCTAGCTGTCCTCGTTCAAAAGATGTGGAAGATAATAATACATACTTCACAGGGTTAGTGTGAGAGTTTATGAGGTAACACAAGCACTTGATAAATATTATTACTGTTGTTGCAAGTAGACATTCTACTGAGGAACTCTCCAGGCAACTTGTTCAAGGAATATCTGAGAATGAGAGTTAATTAAGAGTCAATTCTCGTTGAAACATTTCCCACACAGAGCAGTATTTACCAAAAGTTCAGGGTTTTCAGCAAATCTTAACCAAGTCCTCTCCCAACCCATTCCATTCTGCCCTCTGAAACTCCTTTGCAATTGTCATTGAACGTTCCACTAAATGTCAACTTCTTTGAGGAAGGCTGCCCTCAGCCTTCTTGTCCTGACTCTTACCTCCCCAGCATCTCTACCATCCTCCTCATTCAACCACAGGTTCACTCAACGTCCTCCTTCTTCTACTGGCACTACCATCCTGTGTGACCTTCAGAGTTTATGTGGCAAAGCATATGACTCCTCAGTTTCAAATTCCTTCCTTTCCTCAATTTCAATTCCCTATCCCTCTCCTTCCTCTCTTCTTCCTTCCTTCTACAAATATTTAGCAAATAGGAGTGCCAGATACTTCTCTAGCTTGCAAAAAAAAAAAAAAAAAAACCCTCACTCTTTAGGCTCAAGCAACTTATTTAAGACATAAAGTCAGGCAAACATATGATTATAAAGGGTATGAGTGATAATACTCTGTAGTGAGTAAACACTGAGTTCTAATGAAAAAAATAACCCATTCGGCATGGGGAGGTTGGTTGTAAAAGGTTTCCTATATGAGATTCTTTGAGTTATAAATGAGATTATTTAAGGTGGAGGACTTTAACTGACTTTAATTAGTGTGGAATGGAGGTATGAGATCTTGACTGGTTAATAATGCATGTGAAATACGGTGTGGTGAATATGGCCCAGGAAAGGCAGTACAGTAGGAGGGAGGAGATAAAAAAAAAATAGGGGCCTTTTAGGAATATACACTCAAGGTCACACCCTGAGACCTCTCACTTCTTCTGCCTCCCTGAGAACACCTGCCTAACCCACAACTCACTTGAACACATTCCTCCACCCTTGCCTGCTCTTTGACTTCACCAAGATTTGGAGTCCCATCACCACACCCGTTCCCCAACTTCCATCCACTTCCATCTAGATCCAACCCATACGCCTCCTTCCCAAACTTGGCGTCTCTACCACATCTAGTAACATCTGCCACACCTTGCCCTTCTCTTCTCCCAAATCTTAAAATCTATACTTACCAAGTTCCCCAAGGGGACCCTCTTGCTCCTCACTGCAGCCAACACACAAAACCATAGGGATTTCCCTCTGCATTCCCTGACTGCCTGGGAAACTCATCCTTAAAGATCCTGCTCTAGAGTTACTATGGGACAATACTGATCCCTCAGGAACAGGATCATGACCCTCCTTTAGCTGCCCCCTAGTCCCTGCCCTGCCACTTTCTTGCCACGACCTGTACTTTTCAGTCCTCTTTATAGATCTATTTTACCTGTAGACTGTGAGCTCTCAAGGACAAGTACTAGGTCTTAGTTCCTTTTGATTGCAAATCCTAACACAGTGTGCCAGGTGCAGTGCCTCACGCCTGTAATCCCAGCATTTGAGAGGCCGAGGTGGGTAGATCACTTGAGGTCAGGAGTTTGAGACCAGTCTGGGCAACATGGTGAAATGTTGCCTCTACTAAAAATACAAAAATTAGCCATGTGTGTGTGGTGGCAGGTGCCTGTAATCCCAGACACCTGGGAGGCTGAGGCAGGAGGATCATTTGTACCCAGGAGGCAGAGGCTGCAGTGAGCTGAGATAGCACCATTGCACTCCAGCCTGGGCAATGGAACGAGACTCTGTCTCAAAAAAAAACAACAAAAAACCCCCAAAATCCTAGCACGGTGTTTAGTACTGAGAAACCTAGCTCTCTGACTTTATGTAATTCTTTATATGTTCTTAATACATCCTGTCTATATAATTTTTAAAAAGTCAAATACAACAGCTTAAAGAGTTGCTATTCTTTAAGTCAAAAGAGACTGGTCAGTAGGGTCAGAAATAGGAATGAAAAGGGAGGCAGACAAGAAGAGAACATGGCCATCAAGTAGAAGTCAAGTGAGATGGCAACCTATCAATTGAGAAATCTATTAAGACTAAAGGAATTCAGAAACTAAATTGAAAATTTAATTCAACAAATATGCCTGGAGCCTTACTGTTGCTTTAGACTAGACACTATGATAGGCCTGAAAGAAAGATGACATCTCTTACTCTCAAGAGACTTGCAACCAGTTTTATTATTTTAATTCTTACTCTAGTAATTAAGATCTAAGAAAAACTCCACCAAAATACTTTAGAAGACTGTCTACACGGAATAAGATGCACTGTTATTTAGTAAGATTTCTGACAAACTTGTGTTTATTCATCAGTGTTTTATAAACCTGCTTGGCAGGTATGAACCTGTCCCTAAAATTTAAGCAATGTGCTCTGCAAGCCTTTACAATAAAGTAAACCTTCCATACCCTTTGAGGTTGAGTGTCATGCTATATATTAGAAAGCAGGACAAAGTATTTTAAAATAAGAAATATCTCAGTATCTCTTCATTATAGTTTCAAATATGTTATCAGCCAGGCACAGTGGCTCATGCCTATAATCTCAGCACTTTGGGAGGCCAAGACTCAAGGATCACTTGAGCCCAGGAGATTGAGACTAGCAAATTCACGGCTCAAGAGGATGCATGGGTACAAGTCTAACTGGCCACAAGAACAGTGTCTAAAATCCTCTTATGAAACAAAAGAAAAATAAAGCAAATTATAAATGATTTCCTAGAGAGTGCTAAAGTCCTTACTCCAATAATAAGGAACAATTTTGTTGACTTAAAAGGAACAGTTAATTGCTTCAAAAATATATCTCCTCATTATAAATTGCAAGTAGGAGAACTTATATAGCATACAGGACAATCTCCAATTTCAAGATGAATGGGTGGGTTTTATATTGCAATGCCTGGAGTCAATCTTTTCCTGCCACCTACTAATACCTCAAACAAATAGAACAACGCTGTGCTTTCAGAAGTGAAATAAGATCTTCATCAGATAACACTCACTGAGTGAGCCAGTCATGAGCAGAATGAGTAAAAAGCCTCAGGATAAATTCCCCCAAAGGATTATTAGCCTAGATCAAGAAGTACCAAGACAAAACAATTTCTGCTTTATCCCACCTTTCAAAGGAATTCCATGGTTTTAGTGCCCATTTGATTTCAATATAATATGCTTTATAAGGAACTACTTCTAAGACATTTTCAAATGGTATGGTATACACCATAGCTCTTCAGATTGTGGCATTGAAAGAAAATTCATCTCATTACTACTGAATTCTCTCAGTCCAAAAGAAAATCAGAATGGCAATTTATTTAGTTTTCCCTCATCTGCATGAGTAAAGATTAATTTAAGTACAAATCTCTAAAAGAAAGAGCTCTCACCCTAGGGTAGAGGTTTCCTGCATACCCACTCAGAAAGGAAAAGAAAACCCTTCAAACATCTTCATAGTTAATGTGTGTTCGGATAGTCATTTTCAAGTTTCACTTTCATCTATCCTTCTGTCATGCATCTTTGGGGTCAGGATTTTCCTCAAGCAGGGCATGGGGATGGAAAGGAGAATTTTTCTTCATTAAAATGACTTTAGAAATCAAGTTAGTACCATATTTCAACCAGCAATTTAATAATTGATTCAGATAAGGATCAAAAACAGATGCTAAAACCATTCAGTGAATCACTGTCAGGGAAAAAAACATGCACATAGTCTCTAAGATGACCCCGCAGGTGCATTCCTAGTCATCAAGAGGATTAGACACCTTTACAATGGAGAGGTCTGGTCAACACCAACTTAGCCAAATGATTAAACTTAACCTAGCTAATGTCATGCACCTTCTGAAGGAAGCAATGTACACTTGCTAGCAATGTTTAATTTGAAACTAATTATGAGGACACCAAGAGTTAGATGAATCTAGACTGTAGCACATTTTACCAGACAACTGTCTTTGACTTTTAAAACATGTTAACATCATAAAACACAAAATAAGAAAACGCAAAAAAGACAGGGAGACAAGAGAGCTCATAAAAGAGATGAAAGAAACATGACAACCAATTGCTCTTTGTAATTTTTTTTTTT